TCACAATTACTATGTTTTAGCTCATTGCTACAGTCACTGATTCATTCCATCTCTTCAAGGGATTTCCTCTTTATCACTGCCTTTCTAATTTATCAAGCATGACTTCCTTTTCCAGAGGCTGGTCTCTCCTACATCATGTCTAAAGTATGCATCTATGGAACATCATAGTTGTTTTTATTCCAAAACAAATCTGTTCTTTTGGCATTACATGCTACTTTCGGTATTCTTTGCTAGCCCCATAATTCAAATGCTTCTATTCATCTTCAATCTTCCTTATTCAATTTCCAACTTTCACGTGTATATTTAAAATACCATGGCTTGGATCAGGTGCATCTTAGTTGTTAAAGTTACATCCCTGCTCTACATTTTTAAAGAGGCCTTGTATATATTTACCTAATGATCTCTTGGCTGTTGCTTCTATGAGTATTGATGATGGATCCATGCAAGACAAAATCCTTGACAACTCCAGTCTTTTCTCCATTTATCATGATGTTACCTACTGGTCCAGGTGTGAGTATTTTGGTTTTCTCTACATTGAGTTGTAATCCATGTTGAAGGCTATAGTACTTGATCTTCATGTGTACGTGCTTCACTTCCACCTCACTTTCAGCTGCCTGTGTTTGTGTGTGTGTGATTGGTTTGCTATACTAAAGAGCTCCCCTAATACATGTGGTACTGGGAGTGATTCCGAGAAACAAAATTTTAACGATGAGTTTTCTAAATAGATCCTCATGTCCAATTAGTCTTCAAGGTAATAAAACTGCCTCCATGAACTCTGCCTTCATTAATATTGATAAAATTGCCACTGTTAATAAGAGAGTGTTGTTAATCCATGGTGTGAGCTATTAATGTTAATTATAAAATATCACTACCTAGTGTTGATGAGAAGGCTATTGGGGCTCTTTTGGGTCAGGATGAGAGGTATAAAGAAGTTGATGGGTTGGTGTTATTTAAAATAGATGAAGTGGTAAAGAAAAAAGATGAGATCCAAGATTCAGAGATATAGCTCAAGTGCCATACAAGACCTCAAACTTTCTATTTGTGCCATACAAGAAAGCCTTATTTCTTTCAGTGACAGAGCTAATAGTGCAGAAAACTAAACACAGGGTCTCATCACTTATTAATTAAAAGTGACTTAATTACAATGCCCACTGAATGCCCAATCTAGAATGGTGTTTGATGTTAAAGTGAGGGCTTTAATTAGGAAGAAGCAGAACTCTGAAACTTGGGGTGGGGATAGATGAGCAGAAATTTAAGCAGTTGAGACAATGAGCCTGGAAATTCCATTGAGTCACTTCAGCCACCAGGACCACCCCTCCACCCAAGCCTGAGGAGATTAGTCTGATGTATGCTGATAGGGTTCCTGGGGCAGATGTCTTATAAGATTTTGCTGTGAGTTCCCATGGAACACTCTTACCACCCATTATTGCATCTAGGCCTGTAACTGTCCTTAAGTTACATAACTAAACTCAAGTCCTAATGAGTCACAAAACTTGTGACGTCCAAAAGTGAACTAAAAATAAATGTGATATACTCTGAAAAGCTTGCTAGAATTTTCTAATACATATAGACAGAAATATGGAAAATATGTGTGGGAATTGTTACTGGGTGTGGGGTAATGATGCAAGGAACACAAAGTTGGATCAGTACGAGTCTGTGAATAGGGGCCCAATAAACACAGGCTCATCTTTTGGTGTTTCAGTTCAAGATCCTAGGGGAGCTGTTGGTGCTTTATTTATTTATTTTTTTACTATGATACAACTTTTTTTTTCTTTCTGGGGATTAGTCTTTTCTTTTTTTTTTTTTTTAACATTTTATTAGGGGCTCATACAACTGTTATCACAATCCATACACACATCAATTGTGTAAAGCGCATT